GAAGAAAGAAAGTGTCATTTTTATTCCAGGTTAGTTCTCTGCCCTCTGAGACTCGTCGGGTGCGTGGGGATCCTCAGCACACAGATGGAGCCCAGAGCAGGGATGGGGGCTATAAGTACTATAAGAAAACCACCCAGCCTGGGCAACATGTTAGCCAAGAATGGTGGAACATGCCTGTAATCCTAGCTAGTTGGGAGACTGAAGTGGAAGGATCTCTTGAGCCTTCCTTATTCTACTAAGGTGGAATGGTCCTGGGCCCTGAGGACCTGGAGGCTGCAGCTGAGCTGAGGCCTCTCTGCTTCTCAAAAGGAGAATCAAAGAGTCCCAAAACTCAGGAGTAGGAGCCTCTTCTCTGAGAGTGAACCTGGTTTGTTGTTGTTATTGCTGTTGTTGTATTTCCCCTGATAAGGTCCTCACGCTGTGGCAACTTTTTTTTTTTTAAGACCAGTTCTCGCTCTGTCACACAGGCTAGCGTGCAGTGGGACAATCTTGGCTCACTGGAACCTCTGCCTCCCAGGTTCAAGCAATTCTCATACCTCAGCCTCCTGAAGGCTAGGAGTATAGGCACGTGCCACCACACCTGACTAATTTTTGTATTTTTAGTAGAGATGGGGATTTCACCTTGTTGACCAGGCTGGTCTCGAACTCCTGACCTCAAGTTATCCACCCTCCTCAGCCTTCCAAAGTGCTGAGATTACAGGTGTGAGCCACCATACCCGGCCAGCAATTTTTAGACATTGAAAACAACCATAACACATGGAGGGTGGTGTGGATAGGTGACTCTCTACACTTGGTGTTCCTGTATGCTGCAGCCATCCCTTCCTGCACAGGGGATTTTCCACGGGACAGAGCTGCGGAAATTCCCTATTGACACACACTCATAATTCATTCAACAGATGGTCAAGAAGCATATCATATGTTTAGACACTGTTCTAGAAACCAAGGGTAAATCATTAAACAAATTACATCAAGAACTTTTCCCTCAAAAAGTGATTAAATAATTAGTTGACCATATATTCTATCAGATGGTGATGAACTTCTATAGGAAACATTAAGCAAGGAAGGAATAAAGAGGCAGTGTGAGACATTGCAATTCTTAACAGAATGGTCAGGGAAGACTTCGCTGTAGAGATGGGAATTGAGCCATCCCGTCTGATGGTAAGGAATCATCAGATGCTTAAGGACTGAGCAACCAGCTACAGGAAAAGCTTATGCAGAGGACCTGGGGAAGGAACATCCCTGGCAGTTTCCAGGACCCCCAGAAGGCGATGCTGGTGTGGCTGAAATGGAGTGAGTGCAGGAAGTGAGAGGAGATGAATTCACAGAGACAACGAAAACACATTATACATGGCATTGTAAGCCACAAACAGTCTTTGGTTTTTAGGACGAGTGACGTGGAAAGCATTGGAATGTTTTGAGCTAAGAATTAACATGATCACACTTGGGCTGGCCTGTTGAGAGTAGACTACAGAAGGTGAGGACAGAATAAGAAGGAGGGCACTGCAGTGTTCCAGGCGTGAGGGATGGTAGCTTGAGGCAGGGTGGTGGCTGTGCTGACTCAGCATGACGGGTTAACTTTATTCACCCTGGTCCTTCCCATGGTGACTGGTTTGCTACCTCTGGGCCTTGGCCCTGGAAGCCACTGAGGTGTCAGCCAGGTCTGAGCCAGCATCACTTTCTCCATCTGAGTTTTCTGAGGGAGAAAGCAACAGAGCAGGTGGCTGAGGAGCCCTTCAGCTGTGCTCCTAAGGGCACTCTTACCCCAGATGTTCTGTTTCAAACTAAGTGGACATTTCTGGCTGCCTTTTCAGAATCCTTTATGCCCAGCGTGTCTCCCTGTGTGGTGGCCCTGCCTATCATTGTGGTCTTTCTGATGATAATCATTGCTGTATGCATCTACTGGATCAACAGACTCCGAAAGGAAAAAAAGATTCTGTCAGGGGAAAAAGAGTTTGAACTGGAAACAAGAGAAATTGCTGTAAAGGAACTGGAGAAGGAACGTGTGCAAAGAGAGAAAGAACTTCAAGTACAAGGTAAAAGAGGCTGAGTATGGTGGCTAATGGCTTGAATCCCAGCACTGTAAGAGGCTGAGGCAGGCAGATCACCTGAACCCTGGATTTCGAGACCAGCCTGGGCAATAAAGTGAGACCCCATTTAATTCAAAAAAAAATGTAGAAGAGTAGGAGGACAGATCAGCACCATAGAAAAGACACAACTCTCCCAGGTACCAGCATATGGAAGAGAGAGGAAATGCACAGCAGCAGCAAGGACTTGGAACTCTGACGTCCTTGGAATGAATCTCTCAGAGCTTTTGTTCTTTCACTCTGCCCACCTTGCATCCATTCATCTGGCTACATGAAGTACTAAATGGTTGAGCAAAAGCAAGTATAACAATGTACCAGCACTACCCAGCCACCTGATCACATATCATTTCTGGTTTCTGACAGTGCCCTAGGCATGAGGCAAGGGAGATGTTGCTGTTCATAGAAAGGACGGTTCCTGCATTGTTTACTATAAACCCAACTTCTTTTAGTTCTTCTGTGGAAGACATGATTTTGTTTCTGTTTGTTTTTCAGAGCAACTTCAAGAAGAATTGCGTAAGTCTAGCCTTTCCTGAACTACTCCATATACAATTTGAGTTCTGCTCAGTTAGCAACATCTCATGACATTCACCTCTGTCTGTCCCTTGCAGGATGGAGAAGAACAGTCTTACATGCTGGTGAGTGCCTCTGATGTTCCCTTAGATCTCAGCTTTCTCCTGCTAGCCAGCTAACAGGACTCCTTAGAGGAGATGAGCAAGGGGACCAGGGCTAGGCAGGGACAGCAGGGAGCTGGGGTCAGTTCATCAACAGTGTCCCAGCAATGATGCATCATGGCTCTTCCGTCAGGGAATCCCGGCAGCTCTCAATCCACCCTATGGTTTACATCCCAGGATCCTTTCTCTTTTGGAATAATTTAATGCGTGATTACCAGAGGTGTCCGATATATAGTAGCCTTCCTAAGAGTTACGTTTCAGTAGTTGTTGCTCTTTGATCCTGGATAAATTTGAAAATAGACAGTGCTGTCTTAGCAGCTTACATCCTGGGGATGGTATAGACTGTGCCAAGTTGAAGACCCATGTGGGGAAGAGGCCATGAGGGTTCTTAGTAAGCCTGACCTAAGGGTGTACCAATACGTGGCCAGAAATGCCTTTCTGCTCCTAGGAGAACACTGATACTTTGTGTACAGACTGCCGGGGGAGGGGGTTCGGGTAAGTGGAAGAGCACAGAACCCAATTGCCCACTCCTAGTGAGCACTTTTCATCTTGTGATTCATCCCCTCTGCTCGTAAGCACCACAGAATCCAAACTTTACCAGATACTATGGCACACAGACCTTTCCTCTTTAGGTGAATTTCAGAATTGCCACTGTCAATGTGGAACAAAATAGCAAATTGTCACAGCCAGACCTATTAACTTGGGGAATGGAGGAAATCATTTTAACACAATAGAAAGGTAGACTGAATAAGTAAGATTAAATACAGATGGGAGAGGCCTGCAGCATGCCCAGTGTCCGGAGCACTTCTTATACCTACAGAAGTGATACCTGAAGACATCAGACCCACACTGTTGAAGCAAAACTGGATGGGAATAGTTCCTCCCCACATTTGCCTACAGATCTCTCAGGAAGCAGGTTTTCTTTTGGGGACATTTATTCTCCTTTATTTTTTGAAAGGTGCCCTTGTCAGTCATTTAAGTCAGTTGTGATCTGGTAAAAGGAACACACAGGACCAATGAAGAGACCCTTTACCCTCCGGGATAGTGTGAAGGGAAACACTCACCTTATCTGATCCACTGGGGAGAGGAGGAGCAGGACATAAAGGCTCTGTGCTGGTTTGAGCCAAGTTGGAAAGTTTCTAACTAAAGAAAATCCAGAGATCATAGGTCTTTGTTTTGGTTCCTTTTTTTTTTTTTCTTTCGAGATGATATCTCGCTGTGTCACCCAGGCTGGAGTGCCGAGGCACAATCTGGACTCACTACAACCTCTGCCTCCCGGATTCAAGCAATTCTCGTGCCTCAGCTTCCTGAGTAGCTGGGATTACAGGCGTGCACCACCATGCCTGGCTAATTTTTGTATTTTTAGTAGAGATGGGGTTTCACCATGTTGTCCAGGCTGGTCCCAAACTCCTGACCTCACGTGATCCACCTGCCTCGGCCTCCCAAAGTTCTGGGATTACAGGCGTGAGTCACCGTGCCCAGCCAGAGATCCTATGTCTCGAATAGAAAAGGGAACACATCTTAGAATTCTGAGAGAAAGTAAGAATGATTAATTTTGCCTCATTTGCTAAACTGTCTGGATTTCTTAGAGCTCCAATTCTTCTCAAACTGAGGGAACTGCTGGAGAGATAGAAGGGAATCCTGGGGTTGGATTTTCAGTAATTCTCAGTGTGTGAGCTGCCTAGGATCAGAGAGCCTTCATGGAAGTGGCCACTAGATGGGGATCCCCCACAGACATCTGAGACCTCTCTGGGAATCAGGAACCACACAATCCCCAGGGTTCCTGAGACCCCAGGCCTAAACCTGAGACTTCCTCTGCAGTTGATGTGGTCCTGGATCCAGACACCGCTCATCCTGATCTCTTGCTGTCAGAGGACCGGAGAAGTGTGCGAAGGTGCCCCCTCAGGCACCTAGGGGAGAGCGTGCCTGACAACCCAGAGAGATTCGACAGTGAGCCTTGTGTCCTGGGCCGGGAGAGCTTTGCTTCAGGAAAACATTACTGGGAGGTGGAGGTGGAAAACGTGATTGAGTGGACTGTGGGGGTCTGCAGAGACAGTGTTCAGAGGAAAGGGGAGGTCCTGCTGATTCCTCAGAATGGCTTCTGGACCCTGGAGATGTTTGGAAACCAATACCGGGCCCTGTCCTCCCCTGATAGGATTCTCCCTTTGAAGGAGTCCCTTTGCCGGGTGGGTGTCTTCCTGGACTATGAAGCAGGAGATGTCTCCTTCTACAACATGAGGGACAGATCGCACATCTACACATGTCCCCGTTCAGCCTTTTCTGTGCCTGTGAGGCCCTTCTTCAGGATAGGGTCTGATGACAGCCCCATCTTCATCTGTCCTGCACTCATAGGAGCCAGTGGGGTCACAGTGCCTGAAGAGGGTCTGACACTTCACAGAGTGGGGACCAATCAGAGCCTGTAGAATCAATTCGCTGGTCTCACAGCCATGCAGATAAGCCCTGGTCATCTCAGCAGCCACTGCACAATGTTGTTGGTGGAAGACACGCCCTCCTCCCCTCTGGTCACGTCCCCAGTGGAAGACACGCCCTCCTCCCCTCTGGTCATGTCCCCAGTGGAAGACACGCCCTCCTCCCCTCTGGTCATATAAGAGAACAGCTTCCAGCTGCCTCTTTCACACCCACTCCAGCCCTCAGCCCCAGTTTTCTCCTCCTCACTAGGCTGTGGCTTTAGTAGTTCCTTTGCTTGTAACTATGGGACGGGATCCAGGCATAGGGAACTAGTTGTTTCATAGCTCCCAGACAAGAAAAAAGTGTGAGAAGTTGATGGGCAGCAAACCTGCTGTTTAACATCAGGGTGGCCACACTGAGTCCAGCATGCCAGTTGGCACCAGATGATATGGACTTGGAATGAGGCCAACAGGGTTCATCAGGATGTGAGAGGAGAGAGGAATCCACAGGACCACCAGAGGGTAGAGGGAACCAGATCTGCAGGTCAGAGATAGAGGAAGTGGAACCAGAGAGCTGGGAGGGACCAAGGTTGTAAGGGTGGCTAAGTCCCACCATAACATCCAAGGGAACCTGGGAAATGATGGCTCATTTCCACCCAACCCCAGGATTTCCAGAGCACACAGCCACAGGCCTGGACCTGGGACGAAGATGAATGAAGAACATGGACGCATGTGGATGTGGTTTGGCTCAGGTGTCTGCAGTTGGCAAGGAGTCAGTACTCAGTCCCTGAGTGTGGTTTAAGTTTGAGGTCCTGGCTGAGCCGAGGAGTAATGGACCAGGTCTACCTCAGCATTCAGGTTCAATGGGGACACCAGTGGCTTCAAACTTCCTGGTCTCATGATGTCTTTAGACACCTTACAAATGATGGAGGATTCCAAAGAGTTTTTGTTTATTTGAGTTAATATTTGTTGGTATTTAAGGCATTGGAGAATGAAACTAAGAAATGTTGTAATTTATTACCTTTACAACAGTTATTTATATTACATACATTTACAACATTTATTAATTTATATTAAAGTAGCATGAATAAGCCAACTCTAGGTTAATATAAGTAGAATGTTTGTGAAAAAATAAGTATGGTATCCAAAGCAAAATAAATTTTATTTAGAAGTGTGGCATTGATTAACTTTTTCCAAATCTAATGTGTGGCTTAAAAGAATATGACTGGATTCTCATATCTGCCTTTACACTCACTCTGTTGAGATATCATAGACTATATCGGCTCAAAAAAACTTTATCCTAGTGACAGAATGAGATTAAAAACCACAAACTGTGTTTTATTATTAATATGAAAATAAGATTATTAACCTTGCAGGCCCCTTAAAACAGTTTTAGCCAACTAAGTGAGACCTTGTCTCTACCGAAAACAAAAAAAAAAATTAGGTGTGGTAGCGCACACCTGTAGTCCCTGCTTCAGGAGATTAAAATGGAGGATTGCTTGAGCCAAGAGTTGGAGTTTGCAGTGAGCTGTGAGCCTGCCATTGCACTCCAGCCTCAGCAACAGAGGGAGACTCTGTCTCAAAAAAAAAAACAAAAAACACGTCAGGCACGGTGGCTCACGCCTGTAATCCCAGCACTTTGGGAAGCCGAGGCGGGTGGATCACCTGAGGTCAGGAGTTCAAGACCAGCCTGGTCAACATGGCAAAACCCCGTCTCACTAAAAATACAAAAATTAGCCAGGCATGGTGGTGGTCGCCTATAATCCCAGCTACTCGGGAGGCTGAGATGGAATCCTCGAACCCCAGTGGGGCGGAGGTTGCAGTGAGCCAAGATTGCACTACTTCACTCCAGCCTGGGTGAAAGAGTGAAACTCACGTCTCAAACAAAGGTTGGGGGACAAAAACGTATGTCAAAGACCGCCCACCCCACCCCAGGAATCCTCAAACCATATTTGAGAGTTGGGATAGAGGATTTGGGAAATAAATCAATGTGATGGTTAATTTTAGGTGTCAACTTGACTGGGTTAAGGAATACCTAGACAACAGATGGAGCGTTATTTCTGGATGTATCTCTGAGGGTGTTTCCAGGGGAAACTGGTATGCGAGTCAGTGGACTGAGTGGAAAAGATCTGCCATCAATATCTTTGGGCACCTTCCAATCAGCTGTGGGCCCAACAGAGCAAAAGGCAGAGGAAAGGTGATCTCTCTCTCTCTCTCTCTCTGAACACTCTTCTCTTGCTCTTCAATATCACAACTCCAAAGTCTCCAGCCTCTGGTCTTTGAGACTTACACCAGTGGCCCTGAGGTGTCAGAGTGAGAATCTGTCAAAAAAGAAAAGAGGGAAGGAAGGAAGGAAGGAAGAGAGAGAGAGAGAGAGAGAGAAGGGAGGGAGGGAGGGAGGGAGGGAGGAGGGAGGGAGGAAGGAAGAAAAAGTAACTGAAAAGATGGAGCTGTGAATTTCTGAGATAGGGAAATGGAGAGACAAGGAGCAAGATGGGGGTGGTGCAGAACCAAAGGTTCAGTTGTGGATACATTAAGGTTGAGGAGCCTATTAGAGATGCACATGGAGATGCAGAGTAGTCCATTGAATAACCAAGAGTCCAGGTGAGACCTCAAGGCTGGAGATAGAAATTCCATACTCAACTTTCCTATATGTTTGAAGAGTTTCATGATAAACTGTAGGGGGTAGAGGGAAGAATTGCATTTTGTTATTAATAACAGAGTCCTGAATACCATTGGCTTTGACAAAATGAGGACCGCTTTTCATGTCAATAAATATGAATGGTGGCCATCAAGGGCTGATCTGAGAGCTTGAAATGTCATACATGCCCCAGTTTAGTTCTGTCTTTATTTTCTTCTGTCTTAGCTTGTGGCTTGCATCTTCAGTGTTGCCTCATGGTCACAAAGGGCTGCCCAGCTCCAAAGTCCATATTCTACATAAGAGGAAGTAGAACATAGGGGGAGTGTAAGGGTCTACGAGCTGTTTTAGCCTCCCCTTAAATAATCTCTCTGATAAACAAAACTTCCACCCTCAAGCAATTGGTTCAAACCTAGTCCCTTGGCCTCCCCTGTCTACAAATGAGATGGATACCTTGCAATAAGAAAATGGGATTTTATTACTGAGAAAAGTGGATCTGGTATTGTGCAAGCAGCCAGCCAACTCTACCAAGAGCCTCAATTCAAACTGTTGTAGTATCATTTTCTGTCACTCGAGGTTTCAGCTAAGTCCTAGGGGTTTTAATTACTTTAAGTGTCTGTTTTATGTCATAAACAAATGATAGGCCTTTATATTTTATTTGTGACCCAACTAAAGTTGCAAGTGCTAGTGATGTAGGATTTTTCTTCTTTATCACTTTGCAAGCAGGGGACCTCTGGCCAGCAACATCCCACCCAAGCCTTGCTTGGCTACACTGGCATGCCCCAGCTCACCTGAGTTATAGCGTGTACCCACATTCGGCAGTTCCTGAGCTCTTGTGCCATGCCCAAGAAGAATGAGGATACACTAGACATTGAAGGGTGAGGAGGGATGAGAAGAATTTTATCAAGCAACTGAACAGCACTCAGCAGAGAGGGGATGCTGGCACCCCTACCCGAAGGCGGGAAAGTTCCCCCTGTGTGGCTGGGTCCAGGCCTGTTTTATGGACTCATAATGGGAAGTGTATGCTGATTGGTTTGTGAGTATGCAAAAAAGATTAAAGTGAAGACACCACTCAAAGGTGGCCACAACACTGTAAAAAACCAATTAGGAAAGGGTGGGTATATGGAAAGTAGTTGAAGGGTGGGGACCAATAAGAGGAAAGTGCACCAAACATGAAGACAAGTTCTCAACAAGTTCTCAATCTGGGCTGAGGATTTACCTTGTAGTTTGGCTTTCAGGCTTTAAACTGTCTTCGGCTTGGAGGTGGGGTTTCACCAGGCACCCATTGCTACCTGCCTTTGCATCTGACTGCCTCCTGTCTGCTATCACTAGGTCCCAAGGTTTGTAGCAAGGACCCCTTACAAAGACATCCCCCACAGTCTACCCAAAGGTTAACCTCAGAACGTATTTCATTGTCAGAGTGACAAACAAATACACGTGAAAATATAGTATGGCACAAAAAAGGAGCAAGAGGTGAAGAAAGGCTCAGTCACACCCAAAATAATTTTGTGAAAAATATAAAATATGCAGTTACTGACAGCACTAACTCTGGATACCAGAAAATTCTATAATTCAGTAATGGATCTGAGACCTGAATTTTGGAGGTACTAAAATAGATGCAGTAGATCTAGTTTTCATTCTGTTCATACTTTCATTTGGCTCTGTGGTAAAAGATGATAATGTTAAAAAAAAAAAGGATGATAATATCCTCTATGTAACAATTACATGCAAGGGGATGTCTGCAAACTGCCACAGTATCATTTTAATTAATACCTATCTTCTCTTCTTAAAATCATTTCATTTTTCCACTCAGTTCTCCTGATGTTTCTGTTACGATATAAAAGACAGCTGAATGTGAAGAAACACTGATTTTACACATAACACACACATTAATGATTCAAATAGGTAAACACAGAGAGCTGCACACACTTTGAGAGGTAGGGCTGAAATTTTTCATCAATGTGTACAATTCAATATAGTTTCAGTTTTCATTCTAACCTTCCCCAGTGGCTTCTGCCCAGCAACTGATGAGAAATGGTAACTCTGAGCCAATCAAAACACAAATTCCTACAAAGAGGATTATCTTACTGTTTCTCAGATCGAGTGTACAGCACATGCTTTCTTTTCCTTTATTCTGGATCGGAGAATCTTAACTAAAGCAGAAATTGTTGTGTTAAATTAAACTAAATTTGGTATAAGATATACCTACATTTAGCCTGAGGGATGGCTCCTTACTTGAGCCCTTAAATAATGAACTGCAACCTAACTTAGTATGTAAACTAACTGAAAGCTTAAGGCACAGGAGTATACTTTTGTAACAAATAGCTGAGTCTCAGCCAATCCCAGTAGCCGAACTTCAGTCGGCTCCAGTCAACCCTGCAGCCAGTGATCAGACTATGTTCAAATAAGGCCAACTCTGAGCTGTAACCATTTAAGCTGTTTCTGTATGTCGCTTCCCTCGTGGAATGGAGCTTACTGAACCTCTCTGATGGCTTCCTGATCATTCTGATGGTTTGCAAATTGTTCTTTGTTCAAATTAAACTGCTAAATTTAATTTGTCTAAAGTTTTCATTAACAACAGAGAACTATTGATTACCTTTTTTCTTTGGGCTATGATTTTCAGATAGGAATATTCAGGAGTAAGTGGGGAAAATTGCTTAGAGCCAGGGCTACAAGGCCTGGAAGAAGAGGGACTGAAAAGCTGAGAGGGGAACTGGCACAGAGAAAGGGGTGGGGATGGAGAGGGTAGAATGCATAGGGTGAGGAACTGAAGAGGCTGAGATTTGGCTGAAGAGGGACAACCTGAATGGAGAAACCTTCCAACTGCATGTTCTTAGGAACTAATTACGATCAGAAAGGAGCAAAGACTCTTCTTTTTTTTTTTTTTTGTCAGACAGAGTCTCACTGTTGCCCAGGCTGGAGTGCGGTGGCACAATCTCAGCTCACTTCAATGTCCGCCTCCCCAGCCAAGCAATTATCTTGTCTCAACCTCCGGAGTAGCTGGGATTACAGGCATACGCCACCACACCTGGCTAATTTGCTGTATTTTTAATAGAGACGGGGTTTCACCATGTTGGCCAGGCTGGTCCTGAACTCCTGACCTCAAGTGATCCGCCCACCTTGGCCTCCCAAAGTGCTGTGATTACACGTATGAGCCACTGCCCCCAGCCAGGAGAGGAAAAGACTCCTAAAATATCTCCTGGTTATGTTTAGGAATGTATTCCAAAAGGTTCTAAAAAGAGATGTGCCTTAAAGATTCATATGTATATTGTAAATTTTCAACTCCATATTTTCTAGGTGCCCCCAACATCCCCCCAAGAGCCTGTCAACGCCCTGCCCAGGTAACCAAGTATATCAGTGCAACAGGGCCAGTTCCTGCCTTCTTTCCCTTGCCTGACTGTGACTTCCCATCTTTTGATCTTTCTTCCTCTAGTTCACTTCCTTTGTCACTATCTCTGCCACCCACACCCACTTGCCTTAATCACCTTAACAGCAAGTGCTGAATTATTATAAACAAAAGGAGTCTGTCTTTTTAGTGCATGG